TCCTTTCTGGACCAGTGGGGTTTTTCCCACTTGAGGGGACTAATAGTTTGCAAGAGTATGGTGGCCCTTGTTTTAGTTCCGCTAAATCGACTTCTCCTTCTTCGACAGTTATAGTATCGTCAAAGGATTCTGGATCTTCGTCATCCATCTCAACATACGCTATCCTCTCTCTCTTATGAGTTTTCGTTGCCTTTGCTTTTTCAGCTTTGAGGCGTTCTACCTGTCGAACTCTATCGGCCAGTTGGGCCATGTCTCTCAGGTATTGAGTGTCTAACTTCTTCCTAATGGAATAATCTAAACCGCCTGCGGCTATTTCGACTAACTCATGTTCCGGCACTTGTGTAAAACATCTTGCTTTGAGCAACCTAAACCTATTTAGATATTCGTCTATAGGTTCAGTGAAATGTCTCTTTACACTGGCCAATTCTTTCAGGCTTATCTTGGTTTGCCCCATGTAGAATTGCTCGTGAAACAATCTTTCCAACTGGGTCCAATGATGGATCGAATTGGGGGGGAGAGTTGTAAACCAAGTAAAAGCGTTCTTTGTTAAAGAACTTGGGAAGTACTTAATCCTCAGGTTTTCATTGTTCGAAATATCTCCTGCTTCGATCAAGTATCTCGCCACATGTTCGACAGTAGATTCTGTCGTGTCCCCAGAGAACTTAGTGAATTTGGGGACTTTACATCTAGGAGGTAAGTCTGTTTGTAACACGTATTCTGACAGCGGGGATGTAAAGTTGGGCCTTCGAAAGCCCATGTTCATCCCATTTTGTGTCATGATCCTTTCGATCATGGTTGCCAGATTATTTTCCAGACCCATGTTTTGGTATTGGATATGCTGAACTACTTCGTCAGCATTTTGGTTTCTGTTAACTAACCTTACCTCTGGGGTTATTACCCTAGGTTCCTCGACAGGTTGCTCCAATCGTGCCCTAAGGTTTTCTTCGACAGGCTGTTGGACTTGGTTGATAGTGGTTTCTTCCTCTAAGAATACACCCTGGTTTCCCCTTATTTGCGCCCTTTGGGGCTGTCGAATAGGTTGGGGTACTCCAAAGAAATCAGCCAAACGCGTCATTTGCGCTGTCATCTGTTGATTCGATTGAGTAGTGTTTTGTATTAGAGGGTTCAGCACTGTACTTAAAGTTTGTGCCAACATTTGAACCATATCATGGTTGCTTTCGTCCATTTGTTGCCTCAAGACTGCTGTCGAGGCATTTGTAAGGCCATGTGCTACTTGGGACGTTCCTCCTAAGAGTTGGGTCCTATTTCTATTCGCCATACCTACTCTAGAACCTTGGAGTGGCGAAGAGGCACTCACTAAAGGGTCTGAAAAAGTGGACGCAACATTCGTCAGGCTAGCCAAGTCAGAAGTTGGCATGCCATAGAGTGGTTCTCGATTATGACCGCCTGTCATAAATCCTGGGGGAACATAAGGCCTTGTGCCTAAATTTCCCCTTGGTGGGGGGGTTCCCAAAGGCACTCTGGGGCCTGTGAACGGAGGTAATGGCCCCGTTGTTGTGACCGTTACTGCTGGTGTTGAACCAGCGGTTATCGCTTCACTTACGGTCGGGATAACCGTTGCTCCCACATTCGTTTGTGGGATTTCGTTATTGTTTGGCGGATTCGCCATCTCTTCCCTTCTTCTGGTAGTATTGGTATCGTTAGTGTATATTCTACCACTTCTCAATAACATACAACACTCCTCGAAAAAGATGAGATTATGTTTAAAAGGGTTAAACTTCAAAAATCAACACACGGTCCCACCAGGTGTGCCAATTTGTTTATCGTGGTTATTGGTAAACAACCGCTGATCCTCCAAATGGTTACTTATTTGGTTACTCGCAGGATCGATCAGATTGATCCTAAGACATGGTTGATTTTGAGGTTTTGATTAAGTTGGATAATGGTTAAATGACAAGAAAATAAAGAGGCTTTAAGTAAAGTGCATGAAGAAATGGGCTTGATAAAATAAATGAAGGCTTGAAATAAAGGGCTTCGACAGGAAAAGTAAAGAAGAAAGCAAGTAAAGTTTCTGGAAAGTAAATGACTTTGATTAATAAAAGTGGTGTTTCACACATACATTCTCAACAATTCTTTCTCACACGCTGGGTACTCGAATCTATATGAGTGACTTTGTATATAATTGTGAACACACGCGAAAAACTGCGTGAACTACTACTATTTATACTAAAACATCCCAAGTAACCGTCGGGCAGTTACACTGCTTCGAGATGACTCCACTTGGCACGTTCTCAGCGTTCGACGCTCCAGATCTTTGCACGTTGCATTTGGTAACCGCTGGAAACCGTTTTCCCTCCAAACGCTTGAATTTCAAACCATTCCACTCTGAACCATCGAACACCTTCGTCGAGAAGCATCTTCGACGAGAAACACCTTCGACGTCGAAGGCAACCAACTTCTCCCTTGGAAGAAATCCTCTAAGTACATTGCCACCTTTCGATGGGCATTTCGACAGACCCAGCTGGTCGAAAACATCCTTCAGCTTTAATGGCTGATATTAATAAAACAAGGGTGTCGAATTTAGGAGCCAACATCATCGTAACATACATTCTTATCCTCTTCAACTACAATAGCTTGGTCGAACACTGAATCAAAGGCCTCCCGCAACACATGCTTAATAAGGTACCACCTATCCTTGAAATCACGAACAGAGTCCACGAACATCTTAAACATCCTCTTTGACTGCTTCAGGGATACCCAACTATGTTTTTCATGCATCAATTGTCGTTGGATATGGAAGTAATGGAAGAATAGGGGGATAGTGGCGTTGAGCCCGAGATATCGACACGCGATCTCGAGTGCTCGAATAAAGGCAATCGTGTTTGGGTGCAGCTACGAGGGCTCTAATTCCAGATGAGCAAAGACCCCGATCTGAAAATCACTAAAGGGCAGCCAAAGTCCCAGCTTCTTGAAGACGAAGTTATACATCGGGAAGAGGTTCCCCTTGTAGTACGAGCAGATCCTTCCATCCTCAGTAGGTTTGAAAATCTTCTAGTTAGCCTCAAACCCCTACTCACCCACACCTTGCTCGACGAGCCTGAACGTGTCACTCGAGGAAGCGACCTAGCGAGAGGTCATACCCCACGGTTTTAACAAACTCGGGATCAGTAATGATGTCGACCTGTTGAATACCTTTGGCACTACAAGCCATCAAACTTGAAAAGAAGAGGAAAACATGAATTCGAAGATCAAATCAAATCCACCCTTCCACCACAAATCAAGTGAAAGGGTGTACGAAGGCACGAGGGCAAATTCCTTGACCAAAGCCCTTACTCAATGGCAAAAAAGGAAGTCATAACAGACCTTCTTTGACTCAGGGTTCGACGGTCCTGCCAAGAAAGCTATGGAGAGGACCCCTCGACGCTCGCAAGCTCCTGAGTCTCGCGGGGAAAAGCCTCCCCGTCACATGAACTTCATCATGAATTTATGAGTTTCGTGGGGAAAAACCTCCCTGTCACATGAACTTTATCATAAATTCACAAGTTTTGCGGGGAAAATCCCCTCCCCCCTGTAATACTCCAAATTTTTCCTACCCTTTAACAAGGATCATCTGGCTTATGCACCATCATATACATACCTACCATTAGGTCATTTAACATTGCATACATTCATTAACAACATGACTTGGCAGCGGATCGAGAATATTCAAGAACTAGGGTTTCAATATTAGTTTTCAGTAGAGATTGCTTTAAGCTAGGGTTTTAATTCATGAACCCTTTTATCACCAAGCTACAAGGACACATTCATCATGAGCTTTTAAGCCATCAAGGTGCATCTCAAGGAATCTCAGGATTTTGTGATCATCATTACTCATATGCTTCTAACTGTTCCTATCTACAAGGTTTTCCTCATGACATTTGCTTCAAGATCATTGGTTGTCAATTGAGGTGCCTTTGCGGGGTGAATTACAAGGTTTAAATCATGGTACAAAGGTGATGTTATGGATATGTAATGTGATCAAGGCATTGTTATTCTATTTCTCATATAGTCGATACATGGTACAAGATGTGGATTGTAATCAAGGCGTCATCTTTCAAATTGTTTGTTGCTTGTTATGTGAGTTAATTTGGGTTGAGGTTGGTGTGTATTTGAGAATAAAGTCAAGGTTTTATTGATTTTTGAGATAATTCGAAATACTCATTCAAGTGAGAACTTAAACTCAAAATTTGATCAAAATTGTCAAGATTCGGTTCATGCAAGATTGAATGTTTTAGGTGAATTTCTTAGTATTAGAAAAAAAACAAAGGCGAACTTCACTTTTCATCCATCCCAAGTTATCAAAGTTTAAGGCCTCATACGAAGTCATGATGCAAAATTTATCATGGTTCTAACAAGGACCATTCATTTTCTTAAGGGGCATTTAAGCATGGTGATTATTTCAAATAGTCAAAAGAAGAAGAAAGACTTAGAATTGCAAGTGCAATTCGGAAGAGAAATATTTTGAATATTTGAAGATATCACGGAACTTTAAAAAGAAACAAGCATTTATAAATATGACAATTCTATTCAATTACATTCATTACAAATATCCAACACCATTTACAATATCCAAAAAATATACTACAAAAATGAGAAATATATTTAAAGATGCACATTTGACGACCAGTTGACTATTGACTCTTCACTTTGATTCTCATCATTGCTTTCTATGTGGCCTTATCTTGTTTGCAATGCAGCTTTAGTTTGATTCTATCTCCATTACCTTCTTCATGACCAAATCTGCTTATCATAACCTGCCATGATTTAGGCCTGCTGTTTCAATCCAAAGCAATCCTTGCACATTTATACAAAAAAAAACAATTAACATTTCCAGTAACATTAGTTCAGCCAAAACAGTTCTACATCAACCAATATTCGCCTATATACAGTTTAGCATAACAGAAAATGGTGATAAAGCTAACAGAATTTTACAACAGCGAAAACTAACATCACAGCCATGTACTCCAACAACAGAATTTCTGGCTCAGCAACTAACCTCACTACCCATAACAGAATTTCCAGCTCAACAACTAACCATACAGCATAACAGAATTTCAACCAACATTCTAACTAACCAACAACTTGTAACTAACTCTAACCAAACTCCAACTAACTTTCTAACCTCCCAATCGCCTCTAACAAACTTCCAGCGGAAGAGAATAGATAACAAAATTCAGAAGGAAAGGGGGAAGAAGGTTCATTCACATCTCAGAGATTCATTATTCCCACTGATACAAACGCCTATCATTATTCACGTTCACAATAAAAAAAGCCAGAAAAAAATATCTGAGAAAATGACCATAGAAAAAGTCACTTCTCTCTGAACCTCATCAAGATCTTCCTCATCAACCTTCAATCTTCAAGCTACTACAACATCTTCATCATCATTCTCCAGCAACAATCTTCATCTTTCTCTATAATCTTCATCTTTCTCTATAATCTTCATCATCAAATTCATCTGTATCAACTGGCTACAACATTCATCATCTTCCTTCTATTGCAAACACCCTCAAAATCGTTGCAGCATCAATACTCTCGCTACTGCAACAAAGCTTTCCTCATTATCTCATATCAACCGAGGTTCATGTTGTAATATTCGAAGAAATGACAGCAAGAAAATCAAACCTGAACGAAGAAGGAAAGAGTGGGTCGCGGTTGAGTGGTGAAACCGAAGGTTGAAGCGATGTCGACATGAGGAGTTTCATAAACAAGGAGGAAGCTCGAATTGGAACAAAGCCTTGATGGAATCGGAGGAGGCCGGTGGTGTCGGAAAAGGAGGATAACTCGTTCTTTAAAGAAATAGTGAGTCCTCTCTGTTGGACTCGAAGGTGGCGCTGCTATTTGATTCTGATCGGGGGAGAAATCCTCAAATCGGTTGTAGATCGATAAAGGGAAAGCAAGGCTGAATCACGGAATCGATGGAAGATGATACAAGATTGTTTAAGCAGGCGACGGCGGAATGAAACAAGCAAGCCGGAGAGGAGAACGGAGTGGCAGATCGGAGAAAAAGGAGAAGGCTGTTGCGCCGTTGAGATTGGGAAAGGAAGTCTATGGTTATGATATCTGAACCGTCACAATTTCAACTGATCCCTATCCCCAACTATCAAAACGAAATCGTGTCCCTCTTCTATTTTTATTTGTGCTTTGTTAATGGAAGCTTTGTGATGAAAATGCATTAAGAAAATTTTTGTTCTGTGATTGGTGTGGGCCATATCACACTATTCTCTAGGCCTATATTCATTCTTTTTTTTTTCCAGTCAATTTACTTGCCAAAAATGAACCGCTTGGCTTCAATCAGCGGGCCTTAGGCCAAGGTCTCACTTGCTGCATGCCATCCAGATTCAGCCACACTCCCTCCTTAGGCCCATTTTTCCAACAAAAAACAACACTATGGATCATTTATGTTGGGTCTACAGCGTCAAGACTACTCTAGCATGCCACTCCTGGATTCAGTTTGTATCCCCTGGACTTGTTTTGTTGTTTATGATTTTATTAATTTCTTTTAAATAATTTTGTGAATTGTTTAGATTTGTTTGAACTTTTTTTTACATGATAAAAATGATAAAATTAAATATAAATTTTTTTTAGATTTTTTATTTTTGGAACTAAATCTCGATTATCCGATTACTTGAGATTGGTAATTCACCTTTGATTGTTGAGATCTGAGTCTTATGCAGGTTTATTGTGCGATATGTGGATATGCTTGAGAATTTGATTGTGATTTACTTTCACATCGGTAATGCTTCCACACTTATTCCGAGCATTTGATTTCTAACTCTTTTCTTTGCTTGGTGAAGCTTACTCAAAGTTTTCCGGGTTTCTCTACTTTGCTTGCCATGCTACGAACTCTTGTTCGTTTGGTATTTTCTCTTGTTTACCTCCTTTTAGCATTTACCGCTTTCTAGAGACCATGTATAGTAGGGGCATTTATTGATTTCTAGAGATCATGTGAAGTAGAAATCAGGAAATAAAGAGTGTGTGCTCAAAGTATCTATTTAAAGACTTGTAGCAGGCACAACTTTCTATATGCTATTTGTGTTTGTTTAAAACCCTACATTTGAAGTAGGTATTTCGCACGTGTGTTTATATTTGTACCCTGATATGTCAAGTCTCCTCATCGATGGCAATCATTGGTTTCTTTACTGCATTTTCATTTGTATTCTTGCTTGTTTGTTTAAACATTGCTTGCGTGTAGAAACTTGTCTATTTTTGAATGAAAATCTTAATGCAATAAGTATGCTTGTCTTGAAATGTTCCTTTCATTTTTATTCATTCATTCATTATCACTCTTTAAATTTTTTACTTGCATATTGATGCCAAGTTTCCAAGTCTTATGCTTAGGTAAAGACTGGATAGAGCATGACGATAATCTAAAAACACAAAAAATATTTGGTTGGTATGCTTTTGAGTAAGACCCTACTGACGATGTACATGCCTTGTTTCAATTCTTAAACACCAGAGATATAAGGGAGATAGACCCTCGTTAACCCCTCTGAGCCTTCGAAGTATGAGTTTCATTTCTTTTCATAAACAACCCTCTTTTTAACCACGGGGCGGGTAGTGTTCAGTTAATCTGATCAAGCATTCAGAACTCATCAAGAGTACGCATCCAAGGATACAACATTGGTTATCCTTCAAAAGGTTGAGGAAAGACAAAACCATAATAACTAACTTTCACTTATCAGGAGTGTGCATCAATTAACGATATCCAAATGGGTATTTCTTGTACATCAAGAATTCAAGATCAGATGACGATACAACAATGGCTATCCCTCATCTACCAAAGAGTCAGGCAGTCACGATCATTTCCAACAAATCAAAAACGGCTTTAAGATCAACAACTTTTTCAAAATAGAAAGAATGAATAAGAAATAAACAAAAAGCCCTGCTAAGTCAAAACTTGAAAACAAGTCGCTTAGTCAAAAGTTAGAGCATCCCGCTAGACTTCCAAATCAAAATTCAAAAGAACTTGTCCAGGAAAAAGTTAGGGAAAGCGAGAAAGAAATTGAAAAGCCTAAAAGGCGAGAAAAGGATTGCCAATAAAAATCCTTATAGAAAGAACAAGGTCGTGTGATCAGACACCAAAATTAAAAGTTAGTAACTGTCGTGTCTAAGAAACCCACGTGGTTCCTCAACCATCGCAAACTCCTCTTTTGAGAGATGAATGCTTGTATTGGGTTAACTCAACTTAGGACTGGAGAACATCATGAAGAATGGGTAGGCACCAAATAATTTTGAGCCTTAAATCCTTTTTTCTAAAACCGTGAATAAGGTCACATTACAACCCTTAAAAGTCCAAACTGAAGCATGGGTCGATTCGAAAGTATGCTACAACGAGATAGAGTTTAACTGACTCCTAATAGGTATGTTTAAATATTTGTGTTGGCATCATATGCTTGCATTATCTTTCATGAAAAAGAATTTACTAATGTTGCTCTCTAGCTAGTGATTTGTTCACAACAAAGTTGTGACACCATTTCATTCAAAGTTTTTTTCAAACTTCAAGACTTACATACGTGTTGCATTAGAATTATCATTCTCATGATAAACATTCTTCTGCATATAAAACAATTGATTAACATCAAGTTACACAATGAACATCAATAAAGAACTCGATCTTGTCAGAGAAGAGAGGCTTGAATACTTTGTTGAAGCAAAAGTCAGTTGTCACAAGAGAAATGACTTATCTAGGGGCATGTTTCCCAGAGATTCTGTTAAGCGAAAGCATCTTGGTGCTTTAAAATATGAGTACTCTTTAGGGATGAAGCTAACAAATTCCGCCAATCTGGGGCAATCAAGTCGAGATTTGATCTCTCTGAGTTCAGCCAAATCTGGGGCATTTCTTCAAAGTTGTCAAATCATAGGTTATCATGTCAATAAATATCTTTTAGCTATACCCAATCTGAAGCTATCACGCTGATAAATCTTAAGTTTCCATTAATATGAGTCAGTCACGTCGAGAAATCTATTCAGAATTCATTCAACCTGGAGCAGTTACGTCGAGATTCGACAAATCTCTCAAAGAAATCTGTAATCAAGAGACAATTTATTTCGTGACTCAAGACATTGGGGCAGGCCACCTTATATCGTAGTGTGCCATGGATATTTTGGTCTTCTATTCAGCATAGTTCCTCTCAGAGATCCTCCAGACAGGGGCATTCCTCATCCAATCTCGCAAAGTTGATCAAGCCAATTATGATGTACGAGATGACTACAATCAAGCTAAAAGCATCATAATGGTCACCCTAACCTAACCCGTGCGCAAAACCGCCTTCATCTGCTACAGACAATTTCAAACCTAATTCCCCAAGTGAATTCAAAAATTCTAGAGTCATCGTTTGGCTTGGCACGCGCAAGTGCACGTCCCCCAGGAGCTAAACCAAGGCATCTCTAAGGAGTAAACTGGGGCATTCATAGAGTTAAACCGGGGCATTTGCAGGTGTCCATGACCATCTTTTTATCCCTAAGTGATTTAAGAGGTAATTACCTAGTGTGGCGTAAACATGGGGTATGTATTCGAAGAGATCCATATGGTGTTCAATATCTGTTCTTTGGCATATTCAGTCATACCATCCTCCAAGAAGTTTAGGATGAAGGGAAGTCGGGCCAGATTATATCTTCCCTAACAATATAATTTAGAATTCAGTGGCGTACTAGTAAACTCGCTTTGTCATCAATCCAATCTTCAGCGGAGTCATCAATAATCTTTGGTATCATGAGCTCCCCAATACAAATTCTTATCAGTATCCCCAGTGATCCTTGGTACCACAGGTGTCCAGCATCGATATGTATTGGCATCCCCGGTGATGAGCAACTGTTCCCAATGAGCATTCTCTTATCCCCATGAAATTTATTTCTTTGCATTACATATAGTTATCATTTCATAACATTTCATTTTCAAAAGTATGTAGACGATCCATCAGAATGGGTCTTTGTGGCAAAAGAAATTTAAACGTGCATATGAAGCATAAGCCAGATTGAGTACCTTACATAAAAGACCTAAATCACTCAAAGACACTAATACATCACCACAAGGGGATATCACTCCCAAATCCCCAACTGATAACCTTCACCTTCACAACACCCAGCTAACGGTGACAGTACCTTGTACCATTGAATTCCCATCAAAATCAATACGCCTTGTCATACGATTCCAGTTCTCGTCTGGTAATCAGTTCCCGTCTGACAATCAAGTCTAAGCCCAGTTTCCGTCTTGTAGTCGGTTCCCGTCTGACGATCAAGTCTAAACCTAGTTCTCGTCTGGTAGTCAGTAATCGTATGACAAATAAGTCAAATTCCAGTTCTCGTTTGTGTCATTTCTCCA